AACAAAGTCAAATCTCGGGCAAGCTTCACTCAGGACAACCAGACCTCCCACCCCTCTGAGGTTGCTGAATCGCCCAGACCTGTCATGAAAAAATACCCTGTCCTGCACATAGTTTATAGCCCCGTTGTAAGCTCCAAGTCGAATTTAAGATTTTGCTGCAATTCTGAAACTGCCGTCACACTCGGCGACGGACAAGCGATGGAGCGATGCGATCGCTCGCAAAGTGCACAAGCGACGGGCAATGGCTCCACTCGATCGATACCTTAGCCGACTGCATCGATTGGGGGCGGGGCCAATCGCCCATCGCTTGTGCACTTTGCGAGCGATCGCATCGCTCCATCGCTTGTCCGTCGCCGAGTGTGACGGCAGTTTCAGAATGGCAGCAAAATCTTAAATTCGACTTGGAGCTTACAACGGGGCTAGAAACTATGTGCAAGACAGGGTATTTTTTCATGACAGGTCTGGGCGATTCAGCAACCTCAGAGGGGTGGGAGGTCTCGTTGTCCTGAGTGAAGCTTGCCCGAGATTTGACTTTGTGGGGGGGGGGGACATGGTAAGTTTCGCCGATCGTACTACCACCTATCATGAAAATGATATTAATCTCCTTGAATGTTCCATGAATGGGATTTGAATTAGGCTAAGAAATAATATAGACTATAGACAAGGTGGTCGACGTTGATATTAATTTCCTTTGGGATGCACCGCGCATCTGTGGGATTGTAAACGCGTCTGCATGCACTTGGAATGCGCAGCGACTTCTAGGCCCACTGATGTACCAATCATTGTGTTACTAATTCTAGACAGGTTCAGTGCCAACTAACTGGTAAACCTCAGGGCTATGAAACTGACGGCTTTTCTTTTTCTCAGTACTGTAGCTTGGTTTTTCTCAGGTGCTGGAAATTTAGGCTGACATTGCACTTTTTTCAGGACGAGCTTGCAGCTCGTATTGATAAAGGAGATGTTGGTTACCGTATACCAGTCAGCATTGGTGAACTCGATAGTGTCGTTGATAATAAGAATGTTAATCAGCCAAAGGTACTGATATTTTGGAGGAATTTTGCTTCTGAACCAAATTCCTTATTCATATTGATGGTATAGATCGACGTGCTGGTGAATAGCGTGTTTTACGAGAAAAGGCTCGCACCGCCTGCTGCCAATTTTTTCCGCCATTTCTTCTGTATGGTAGTGTGTGACGCCATCGAAGATAAGGTACCTTCGTCTGTTTTGCTTTCAAGGTTGAGGGGAATGGCTAATTTATCTGATTTAGCATCATTTGAAACTGGATCCAAATAAATGTGTGAAGCTGAAAAATCGTACAGTGATGGGCTGTATTGAACCAATGAAGATCGCCAAGAGGCCAGTGGCACCGGTGATTCAGGAAATCGCATCAATTGACCCAGAGCCGGAACCAAGGATACCGGTATGTTATTTTCTGTGCCTGTTAGGGGATCTCTGCGCGGCGAAGGCGTGGAGATGTGTGAGCGCTCTGCGATGTCTGGGAGGACGCCAGAATTACCATACGGAAGGTCACTCTGACCGACCTGC